TTTTTTTAATTCTGTCTCTCAGAGTGGGAATGCACCTACAATGTGAATTTCAGACCCCTCCATGATTTCTAAGTGGGAGAACTTGCAAAATCGCAGGGTGTTCAAATACTTTTGTTCCTCACTGTACACCCTGCTCAATTAGCATTCATTTAGTGTCATGTTTCAGTGAACCTGATGAATGTAAATCCAATATTTAATCTCCTTTTAGCTGTGTTTTTGTCTTCACCAGTTTAGAGCCAAGAAGAACTACAGAGTATGGTGAAAATCTACAGTGAGCTTGTCACTACAAAAGACCCCTTTTATATAAAATTTGTATATCTGTAAAGCAGGGTAAAGTCAATACCCTGCATTACTCTGTTGATGAGATGCTGAGCAGGGCTGCAAAGACGGGGGCATGGTGTTTTGGGGTGTGTATGTGTGCATGTGTGAGAAGAGGGTGCCATTTTAACAACAAACATTTCCAAAGCTCTCACACTATAAACACTTTGAGAAGCAGTGATACTTTCAAAACTTCAGAAGCAGCAATATCATCCATACCTACTGCACTAACTCATGTCTCACCTGTTCATTTTTTATTACACCTTGCCACCCATCTTCCAACCTTAGCATTTTACATATATTTTTCTTCTTTGTAGGTAAAAGGAAAGACTCAAGAACTAGTACTATAGTCATGATATGTAATACAGCTGTTCATTGTTCCCAGTGGATGAATCCTAACTGTTTTGGTGATCAGTCTGACCATTCGTCTTGCCATCTAGTTAAAACTTCCCCTTGTCTAACTCTGTTTTATGACAAGATATTTTAAAAAGTAAAACCTGGATTCCTGTGAAATTTGCAGTGGTCATTTGTGGTCCTCAGAGTAACAATTTTTAGGAGACTCATTTCACAAAATATGAAGATGAACCCCTTCTTTTTGAAAAGTATCAGCTTTCTTCTAAGGCTTAAATGTCAACTTTGCACACAAGTTATTTCATTGCCTAAGAAACTGACAATTTTGAGATTCCCTCTGGACAACCATTCTACGAGGAAGATAAATCCTTTTGAATTTAATCAAATCCAGGATTGTGCTTTTGTTTTTTTAGCCCCGCTATAAAAATTGTCATAATGCTGTTCTTTATATCCAACTTTTTTTGCATTGTGGTGGGTGATATTAACACTACAGCTTCGCTAATTAAACTGAACTGACTTTTCAGTGCAGGAAGATGCTGAGCTCAGGCGTGAAGTATTCTGTCATATGACTGCAGTTCTTATCACTCAGGTGGATGGGAGACAGGCGACAGTCTGACAGCCAAGCTCACATGCAGAACAAACACAGACTGTTCCTTATTTTTGACCACCCAAATGTCATTTTATCTTCCAGTCATGTGGCAGATCTGCTTAACACATTGGCACATTGGTTGCCAGACTACTGACTTCCCATCACTATTAAAGGATAACACCAGTGATTTCTGATGCAAAAACCACCAGTAAATTGATTGTGTTCAGTGTAATGCCTGTAAATCCAGACTGTGGTTTAACTTACTGGTCTATGGCCTAGACCTCCATTGGTGTCCAGAAACTATTAAAGAGACACCAGTAAGCCACACTGTGGCACTGAGTGACGTTTCTTGCTCATGAAAAATGTGAGGTCCATCTTAAACTAAAAAAGCTCCAGAGGCTAAGAATGGCCATTACTTTTTACTGTCTCTGAAGTAAAAAGAGTTGAGTGCACACGTGTTTATTTTATTTAACCTATATTTTACCAGTGAGGTTTCAAACCTCTTTTCCAATGGCCAAGAGAGCAGCATCTAAAAACAGACAACTACAAGATCAACATACAGAAATTCAAAAGCTACAAAGTAGAAACAGGGTAGCAGACAAAAATAAAACAGAAAGAGGCAGTGAGGACATGTTGGTGTTAGAGAAGAATTTAGGGCCTCACTTTGGTCTGGACCAAAGTGGTGGACCAACTGACTGACTGTCTAATACTGCCATTCTAATAGAGCCAGCTGGTCTGGTTAAACAAACCAAATCTAGAGACAGAGTCCAAATAAAAATATGAAAACACATGCATACTGAAACTAATTAAAAAGAAAGAAAAAATAAGTCTAAAACTACATAGCAGTAGAGAAAAAAGTGTACAACTGCACATACTGACACCGACCTGCTGTTTGTTCTCTTTAGAGTAGGGTAACATGGTGGAGACATGGAACATGAGCTCATGGCCCTGATACACTGTGTAGATGGACTTCATTCCTGTAGTGTCATCTGCAGGTAAAAAGAGACAGAAACAGATGAAAAAAAGAGAAAACGTATTGAAATGCTTTTACTCTAAATGAAGTTTATTTGAACATGATTCAGCAGCTGTGTGGTGTCCTACTCTTGGTGTCTAGTCCTCCACGGTATCCTGCCCACCCCTGCAGCGTAATGGTATCACCCAGCAGATTGAGAAACTTATCGAAGCTCTCGCTCCCGGTCTCTAAAACACACACGGAGTACTTAGCAGATATGTTCCTTTGTACAACCCCTAACAGGTTAGGACACTGAAAAAATGTGAGCATAGAGGGATTTACCATTGCTAAACATCTCGTCATCAGTGAGCTGTCCATCTCTGGCATACAGGACGCCAAATTTAAAGTTGACAGAACCCTGCAAAATCACAGTTATGTTACTATTTACTATTTGTGCATTTAATACATCTTTTTACTGCCATTCAGTGCTTCTATTGTAAGAAGCATACATACAAGATATAAAACACATTTTAAAAAAAATACACAGGATGAATAGCATGCTTTTGTTGTGCATTACATTACAGCAGGACAAATGGCATGATATTAGAAATCACAACTGTAGCTCCAGTACATGTAAGACAATATTAAGGATTCCTTTACCAGATAAGGACTCAACAAAGAAACAAACAAGTGGGTCCTGATATGATATGTGGGTGTGTAAAGGTGACTGGATAGCCAAACAAAAGGCCATAAAAGAAATTATTACTAAACTTGAAAACAAAAAGCCAGAGCTTTGCAAAAGCCTACCTCTTGCTCCTCCAGCACCAGCAGATCCTTAGGAAAGAGAAACAGTTATCACTCACACTGACCAGCACTGCAAGTGGAGATGAGACAGTGTGAAGATATCATATAGTTTGTGTGCTGCTATTTAGGCCTGGCATGAAGTAGATCAGCGTTACATCTCATTAAAAGCAGCCTGGTGCTCTGATGTTACTCTCACCTTCTGAATCTCCGGGTTGAGGATCTCCCTGGGGCCTTTCTCAAACCTGTCCATGTTCATTGCACTGCAAATCAGGACAGGAGGAGGAGGAAAAGGAGAAATTGAAGAAGAAGTGATGAAAAAGAGAATGGGGGTATTTAGGATTAACGGATGATAACACAGAAAAATGAGACATGATATGGGGGATTTCTCATCCTGCTTGGACCATTTGTCCTCATTGAGAGTTTGAGCAGTATTGCCGCTCAGCCTGAGGGATTTATCATCTCCAATCTCCTGTGTCCTATTACTAGTCACTCAGGACATCTGCTACTGGAAACATGACATGGACGATATGAATGACCAACAAAATTATACTTTTTCTAATGGGGCTCACCAAATTAAACTTTTTAATAGAACACAATGCAATTTATTATCTGTTTCATGGTCATGCTAGAATTATTTATCAAGTGCATACATTTACTGACATTTAAATCATTTAAATTGTCACTGCTTCCCAGCTCTACAACAATAATTCCTAAAAACATCATTAATTAATTATTATTAATGATTAAATGAATGATTGATGACTGACCTGGACCTGGATAAGCAGCAGAGAATGAGTGGATAAATGGAAGAGCCAAAACATTTTCTAAGTGAAGCTATTGCTTACAGCAGGCAAAAAAAAATTATATATACTGTTTCTCTTCCCTAGACCTACAGTTTGTAAAAGAAATGTAAGATTTTAAAGCCCTCTTTTGGAAAAACATCAATGTTTTAAAGCCCTGCAGATTCCCAGAACTAGGCAGTTCTTATTTCCTATTCAAATTATTATTACATCACTTCATACTGTACCTGCAGTATGTAAAAATAAAAGCCTTGTATAATATAATATTATGCAAAAGACTTGGTGGAGATCATTTTACATTACTGTAAACAAGGTTTTAAGTGTGGCTTAACCATTTACTAATGAATACAGATGGGTTCTGATATCCAGCTCTGTTCTGGATCCAACCCCACGTTTAAAAACATCTGGGTATGTTAGAATCTGTGAATGAATCATGACCTTCCTTTAATTTAGTTTTTGACACTACAGGCAGACATATTCTGAGACCAAGCTGCTTGTGTATATCTCATCTTTCACAGAGTATCATCCCTGGAAAATGCATTTTGCATTAAAAAACAAAATATGATCATTTCTTTTATGTCACTATATAATTATGATTATACAGCCACTGGCCACTGCGCTTCAATGCAACACTTCCACCTTAGCATCTGTTATGAAGTTCAAATTGTTTCAGTTTTTTGGTGAAATCATAAATGTAGTCCAGTATAACACCACTGAATTGCATACAATTGTACAGGTGTACCTAATAAAGTGGCTGTTGAGTATATTTTGTTAATACAACATAAGCAACCGGTTGTAAATATGTTTGCATCTAGATGACAGTAAACACTATAACTTAATAACAGTACAACACAGTCATCAGTATATGTGTATATATGTTTGTGTGACAAACAAACAAACCCTTTCATATACTCTTTTTTTTTTTTTGTCATTTGTTTTGAGGTTACGATTGAGCTAGTTAGCATCTGAAAACACAGTATGCAAGACTTAATGTTTCAGCAGCAGCATAAGCTAACCAACAATACATGTATTGAAAATAGTTTATGAATGATGTCCGGTTAGAGCTCCAGGCTGCACGTCTCACCTGAGGATGGACTTGACTGATAGTGTTTTGGTCGGGCTGTAAGGAAGGCTGATCTTCAGAGTGCCCTGAGCGAACAAGAATTACACACATCAGGGATTACAAACTGCTGGCACAGCAGGGTGCAACTGCGGCTTTTAAGGAGCCACTTCCTCAAAACTAATTTTTTTGTGGCTAAGAATTGATTTCCGAGACTAAAGTGCTCATCTACAAACCTGTTGCACTGTTGTTCACAGCAAATTCAGAGAACACAAACATATTTTTCAATTAGTCATAAAATAATTACAAAGGGCCAAATTTAACCAAAAGCGGTTCAAACCAAACAGAGTGGTTCAGTTCAACGACAACAACATCCTGTTCCAGTTAGAGTCTGATAGAAACAAGACAAATCAATGCGATCAGGCAGCACAGGTGCACCACCCTAATCAGTTTCCCGATGAGGCTGGAGGCCAAAATTAGATCCAAGTTATCTTGGTCATGAAGCTGAGTCACCACACTACAAACACAATAATGAACACACACCTACACACACAGTGACTCAAGATTGGAGTAGCATAGTCCCTCAAGATGCCGTGTTGTGCCTTCTCATATTTATATCACAGAAAAAGTACCATCTACGATTGTGTATTCAAGTAGCAAATGTTCAGGTTTAATCTTTGCCCCAATATACAAAAGGTTTCAGTTAAGATTAGAGGAAGATCCACTGAGGCAGTGCTAGGAAGTACATTTACTCGAGTACTATGCTTCACTTGAGTACTTCATTACATTTGTTTGTAACTGCAATTCAACTGCAAGTGATTCTTACACATTAATGCATCACAATTATAGCACAGATTAATCTGAAATATAGTTTAATGTGTGCTTTTACTTTGGATATAAGTGTAGCATATTTTTAGATGCCTAACACCATTAATAACACTAATGTACTTAAATAAATACTTGAATGCATGACTTTTAACTGAGTATTTTTACACTGTGGTTTTGCTAAATCTGAATATGTCTCCATCTGCAATGCCATGTCTGCAACTGCAACTGCTAGCAGCCGGTTAGGCTCGCAGCTTAGCACAAAGAACCCAGAAGCATGAAGAATTCCTTATGTGCCACAGGGCAGCTGTAGGAAGCTGCTTTGAGTGTGATTCAGTGCATAGAAAGGCACTATATAAAACCATTTAGCTTGCAGTGTTCATTGGAATGTATCGGATAACATCTTGTAATCTGGTGTTCAATTTTCTTAAATACATCAACGTTATAAACGATAGACAATGTACAAGATTTTCTTTTCAAGCCAATGTGAGGTTGCAGGGGCAGCAGTGGAGGCTCCAGTTAGTTTATCCAGTCAAGAAAGAGTTTGGTATATGGCCCCCCCATAAAACCACACTCTAGTTTTTGTATTGATTAAACGAATGAGATATAACATTAATTATTGAACTTTAGTGGTTCTGGTCCTGTTTGCCCTGTTTCCAGTCTTTATAATAAGCTAAGCTAACAGGCTGCTGGCTTTATCTTTGCAGTGCACAGACATATGCTTCTTCATGCTAAGAAAACAAGTGCGTTTTCCAAGATGCTGAAACGCTCACAGTCTTTCTCCAGAGGATGGCTCTGTACTGGGGAACCCGCTGGTTGTTCTGGTCTGAGAGGACAACTGAGAGGTAGAAGGGATTCTTCTCTGCATCTGTACCCACATAGTTCTGGTGGACTGAGGGAAACCAAGATAAGATACAAATAAAACTACACATACATGCTGGATATTTAACATGTGTATGTCACAAACTTGTAAGAAGTGAGTGGGGAACTGATGTTGAAGCTTTACTTAGTTTTCAGCACTTTACCACAAAAATGCTTAGTTATTTAACACTCCTTTACAGCCCCCCCCCATCTTCTTTTGCCTTCACTGCTATGTTGTCCTTCTTCATACCCTTTTTTCCACCACCACCAAACTGCCAATTCTTTCAGTGTGCGACATGGGAACAGACAAAGATCTCCTGACAGCACCAGTGCAAAGTCACACATTCATGCCTCTGCCTGTTTGGTTGACAGGGTAACATCTTCACAAACAATGAACAGACCTGCAACTGGATGAAGGATCTCTCCCCACATTGCTGTGCCTCTCTAATGCGCGTCTTTCCTCTAATGTTCTCTTTTCTTCCACAAATTCACTTTCTTTGGTCTACTCTCCATTAGCATGTTTTTATGCTTCAGATAAGCAAAAATTGTGCAAGGTTGGGTTGCAATTATATACTTATAGGTTTAGCTAGCTGTAGCTTTTCTCTGTGCGAGTATAAAGCACATTCTGAGTGTCTATGCATTATATTTGCACCTATTGTAAGACAAGAGGGAAACAAACACGGACAAACAGTTTTATTTTTTACATATTCATAAAGAAATTCAGATTTTATGTTACTGCATTTCTGAACAGGAAATGCTAATGTTAGAATAACTGGCCTCGAGTTCATATGTTGTGTTGTACCATGCAATCAGCTTTGCTCAGGCTGTGAGACACAGATGGCTCAGCTGCAGTCCAAACAGGTCGAGCCAACTTTCTGGAGATATGGCTCACTATAAACTGGCCATGCCATATCATCATCAGACCTTGGCTACAGGAGAAAAGGCATTTAGTTTATTCCACTTGCTGACTTCTTGCTCTCTGTCTTTCCTTCACAATGATTTCCATCCATGTCAGGGATCTGTCTTTTATCTCAACCTTTCAGCTGAGGGTATTCTTCCTGATTCGAGTCGCAGCAAAGAAATCCAGACAATGATCCTTTGTGCTGCCTATGCTGCAACTATGAGAACAGGCACAGTGTTAATGAGGATGAAATGATGAGGGTATGAAAGTTGAAGGAACAGGTGACTAATGCAATGTATGTTTAAAATCTCTGGTTCCTGTTTATGGTTCCTGTTAGTCTGTTGCTAAGCGTTGGGATAATTTCAGAAACCAAGATTCTGATCTTAGCCATGTCATCGGCTGGAGGCAAGCCTTTGCTCTGTCTGTTCAGGCTGTATGTCCTCCATGGGCTTCCTCCCTGAGTGGTTTATGAGATTAAGAGTGTAGTTGAGACTTTCAGTGGGGATATGACTGGATGCTAACAAGTTTTGGCCTTGAAGAGCAGTGCAGCATGAGGACAGAGCTGACTTCGTAAGATAAGAAGCATCTTGTAGACCAGGAAAGAAAATCAGAGGATGTTTTCTGCAGCACCTGAAAGCCAGTTTATATGCTGTCCCTCACTTTCCTAAATTTCTCTCCTTATCTCACACTAACTATGTGTGCAAGTATGTATGTTTTTAAACAGAGCACAGCAGAGCAGCACTGACCTTTTCCCAGGAAATACTTAAAGAACCATCTGGTGTGGTACTCTGGGTTCTCCAGATGGACATCAGTTCTCCTCCAGGTTCCTGGAGTGTAGTCCGAAGTCTGTTTGACACACACACACACACACACACACAGATTATAATACAGGACAGGGAAATTACATTCAGCTACAGTCAGGGTAGGATTCATGTGTGCAAAAAAGTGCACCTCATCTGATGAGCCATTCTCCACCCTGAAGCGTCCTGCCCTCTGAATGGCCCCATCTGCATCACTGGAAATCAGCTGAGCAGGAGACAGAGAAAGACAGAGACATGTTTAAAAATAGATAGGCATGACCTGTGGCAGACAGTAATAGCCATTACAGCTGGCTATCATCACTGGCAAAAAACAGGAAGCATGGCGCAGACAGCATTTCCATGTGACAACAGCAGGATGAGTTCGCAGCATTCTTCCCCATGTCTCTTTAATCATCAGTATTTACTCACGTCTTGGTAATGATTTGTCCATCTCCCTAATCTGCAAAAAACAGTTTTTATGTTCTTTTTTTTTGTTTAAATTTTCACAACTGTCATCTTCTACTTATTGTCCCAATTATCTGTCTCATACTGATTCATATACTGTAGCAGATATGCTACAGTATTGAAGAGGAAACATTACAGGAGCGAAATGGGACACAATGATTGTGGGAGAGTCCGCCAACCAAGAGAGGCCAGAGAAGAAGAACAATGCATTTTGTTCAAGTACACAAAGTGCAACTTAAAGAAATGGTTTGAGATGTTTTGAAACACTGTATTTCTTCTTGCTGAGAGTTTGAATAGAATTAGATGACATCTTTTCACATTTGAGGCCTCAACAACATAGCATTCCCTACATAAACCACAGGAGAAAAGTCAAAACTTTGATTTTAGCAGTGTTAGTGGTTGCTCCACTGCTTTGGCCTGGACTAAAAATACTGGTGCAATCATCTGAGTCTGAGTGATTTCAATCATTTTCTCATCTTGATGGGCATCTACAAAACCCTCTTCAATCCATTCCTCTCCATGTCCCCATTTCCTTTTTAACCCCCCAACACCTTTGCACAAAATTATGTTTGTTGCCAGGCAACGGACCACCGACTCCCTCCTCCCTTGTTGCTCTCTGTCCTTCTGCTTTTTTTCCTCTGCATCTTTGCCCTCTGCTCTTTGACTGTTGTGCTCTAATTTGCTCTCCTCACCAACAGAGGCCTGTTCTCTACCAACGTGTATGTTTAAAAAAGAGCTCTGGTCTAGCTGTGCATCCCTGCTGCACACTGAGATATGTCCAGATGGCCTGAAATGGTTTGGTGGAGCCAAGTAAGAAGAGAATGAAAAGGAAGTTCCTGGGAGAGAAGGACTGAACATGGAATGTACTTCCTAGTGTACCTGACCTTGAGCAAGTACATAGACACACTGAAACTAGGGCTGCAAATATTTATTTTCATTATTGATTAAAATGCCGATTATTTTCTTGATACATTTTGTCCATAAAACCCCAATATATTCAATTAGTATTCATATACAGAGAAAACAGGAACTAATCATATTTGAAAACAGAAATTCTCTGGCATCTTTGCATGAAAAATTAATCAAACAGTCAATAAGAGTGATAGCTATGAAATATTTACAGAATTCTATTGAATAATAATGCCAGCTGTAAATGAACAGAGAAAGTACTTCTCATATTTTTATATCTCACTGTCACAAGAAATATTCAAGCCTTTGCCAAGTAATGGTTTAGTGCACATGAGGATCCTGGTTATGATCAGGCTGAAGTGTCCCAGTTTTGTTATTTGTCAGCAGACGGTCACAAACCAAACTGTTCATTATCAACAACTGAGGGAACTGAGTTGGTACAGACATGACTGGCTGAGACAATCAGAAACCAGCACACTGCTATGATTAGGTTTCATGTAGCCCGAGTATGATCCACACTAAGATAAGACTCAAAACCAGGACTTTAATATAAACACACTCCATCTCAGGATAAATCTCCTGCCATTGTTAAATTGAAGTTTTCCCACTGTAAGGGTCTCTGCACAAAGATAAATGAATAACTAAACTCATATTGTGAATGGCAGACTAAACAGTGTTTTCCAGTTTGGAGAGCGGGTGGTGTGCCCTGCTTCAGCAGCTCATTAGATCAGGTCAGACAGCACAGTGATGAAAGAGAGAGAGGGTTAAAGTCCATTCAAAGCATTCCTGTGAGTAAGTGAGGATAAAAGGTGAGAGATTTACATTCTAAATAAAATCATTAATAACTGTCACACTGACTTTATTGTTAATGCTTAATTAAATCTGATAAGCAGCGCTGTAGCTAGGGGATTAAAAAGCCCTTCAATGAAATTCTGCAACTTCAGCTGTACTGGAGTTGGGTTTAAATTTTACAGCTTTGTTTCTGTGTTGTGTCAAACACTTTGGCTCATCCCATATGTACAAGACATCGCTATCAATCATTTCTGATATTATCTGTACTTCTATATACTGTACAATGTGCACTATATATACTGTACTGTGTACATCCAATAGCCAACTCAGTTTCAGTGCATTATCCCTCTTTAAAGATGATTTTGTTTTTTCACTAAACAAAGTATTGAATGATAAAAGGCAGTGGTAAAGTCCTATAAACCCAAAAGGTTTAAATGGAATATCTCCGGGTTTTGGACTGTAGGTTGAACAAAACACAACACCTGAAGGCATCGCCTTGGGGTTCACAGCATTCTAATGAACATTTACTTTTTGGACATCTTTAGACTATTAACTGATTAACTTTATTCAGCAGATACTGAAAATAATTATTGGATACAGTCCTAGCTCACTCATGGATGTTAGCATCTTAATTTTCAAATATCAAATATCTTAGTATATAAATACTGATTGTATTTGCACTACCCAACAGCTTAACCTTCTACAAGGATAAATTATTATTATGGACATTGTATGTGGAGTGCCTCAGGGTTCTGTTTTGGGACCTAAATTATTTATATTATACATTAATGATATATGTAAGGTTTCTGATTTAGCGAAAGTGGTTTTGTTTGCTGATGACACTACCATATGGGCATTGGGTGAAAACCTACAGCAACTTTTTGGACGGGTTTCACAGGAACTTGA